AAGAACAGAATCGGTCAGAACACTTGGCAGTGCAATCTTGAAAAAAGCATGCAGAATTGGTTTCATACGTAGCAAACAAACTTGATGCCTCTCAGCATCTGTGCACGTTTTTCGGTTGCCCGCCAAGGCACATGTTAGGGTCACCTGCCACACTTGTTCTGGCTTTGGCGCTTTGAGGAATTCGCCACGGCCACAGAGTGACCACAAATATGCCCTTTTTCAGTCAAGCTACTGTAATGTCCGCGAAAGCCCTCTAGTGGAATTCAAACTCTATATGGGGAAAAAGGTTCATGCATTTGGATTTCAGGATGTTTCAGGAGTGTTGCCGAGTGGGAGGATCAGCAAAGCAGTATCGCAACTCCACAGGGCTGGAACTTTTCGACTCACTCTGTCTGCAAAAGATTCTCCTAGAAGTCTGGGGGTCACATTGCAAAGGAAACCTTGTCAATTCTGTGCAATTGTCGGCGATTGTCAACATGGATGGTACCTTCAGCATACGCCGAACCCACTCCCACCTTGTAGTAGAGCATGGCATCGCGATCATTGAAGATGCTCTCAATCTGTCGTCCTGATGAAGTCCCAGGGTGAAAGCTTGAAGACTTCCACTTCCGCGTTGTTTCAGCCTCTCTTCATTGCTTTTTCTCAAGTGAGTTCAAAACAATCTGGTCTAGCTTCGCTTGCAAAAAGCAAGCAGGTACTTCCCAGAAGATCCTTCCCCAGTTTCCGAACATGACTTGCTGCTCCTGTCGCAGACGCGACCAGCTCAGGAGTGTCAAGGCTGCTGGAGGAAATTCGGTACATGGACCTGGTCCGGGGCAGCAACCATTGAGCAACACGAGTCATTTGGACATTTGATCCACCCAAGCGAAGAGCTCTGGCCTCACCTCACTATCTTGGACACCCGTCGCACAAACACGAGTCTCACGTCGCGGCAGAGCAGCGCCTCTGCAGAGCAAAGTATAGCTCCGACCTGTAAAGGGAAAGGAAACAAGGATAGAGACCCAGACGGAGACGGACAACTTCTGAAATCGCGAGAGAGAGAGAGAGAGATGGATGTGTGTGTTTGTGTGTTTGGACACATATCGATTTCAACAATCAACCGGTAGGCAGGCTGCCGGTTGGCTGATGAGTCCAAGAACCGACATGCAAATTTGGAAGAAACTGCCTGAAGACGGTGTAGTGCTCTCCAACACCAATCTGGGATCCGACCTGCAAAGAGCGACAAGGAAAGCAGGGCTTAGGCCGCTCTTGTCCAACACATGATCAAAAAGTGAGTCTGGATTGTGGAAAGGCTTGGCCCGGCTTGGACAGTTCGTTCAGCACCCGACCTGCTTTCAACAAGTAAGTTGGCAAAGGCTTGGCCATTCAGTTCAAACGGAAAGAATCAGGACATCTAACGCCCTCAACTCCACACCTCACACCTTGCACCGAACAAGATTTCTGTAATCGACCCAACAGAATCTTGCCTAAGGCCTGACCTACAAGAAAAATGAAGCACGATACATGATAAATGCTGTCTTTACAGAAATATTGAAAAAGGAACATACTATCCACTAGTTGGACGTGCTCAAAGAGAACTGGCAAAAGATGCTTTATGCAGCTTCTTCAAAAGAACTTTCTTGTTGATCTTGTATTCTGGTTCTTTGGAAACCCAAGGACCACCATGCCTTTTTGCATCTGAGCCCTTGTCGGAAACCTCTTGAGACACTTTGCATACTTCCCTTGGTTTACCATGCTCCTCATTAATGCTAAAATGACAGCGATCTCACATTCTCCCAGCAGGTCAGAGGTGTTTGGTCTTGAGGGCACTTTCATGTGCTAGAGAAAGGCATAATCACAATTCACACAGTCTATTGGCTCAGCTCAGGCACTATACACAACATCAATGCGGGCAGAGTGCTGTTCAGCAGCCCTATCTTCCCCCCCTCTGACCACTTGGTATCGTGAAGACAGCTGCGGTCGATTCCCATAGTGCAACAACTTCGCAAGCACGCAATCTCCCACTGGTGCCTGAACCACAGTGCTCCCGGTGGTTCGCAGAATCCGGGACTGCCCCTGTGCATTTCGACCATTGAAGAATACGCTGCCTGCACATGCTGCCACTGGACATGAGACAACGAACGACAGACTAGACTCTGCTTCTCTTTCTGACTGCGGACTCAGCGCTTTCCTATCTATTCAAAACTCTACCTGGCGGTCATCGGCTAGTGCTGGGTGCCTCCAAATTCGATGTAGTTAGCATAGGAATTGGACCCGGCTGGGGAGGCCCAGGCACGCAACTCTGTCGTGGGATTATTCAGCAAGTCTGGCAGACCTGGAAGACACCGTCTGCAGTCGCTGCAGTCGTCGGCAAATCAAACAAGATCCGATTGAATCGGATCCGAAAGCTGTCTGCGGGAAGGGGCAGGGGCCCCAAGGCACAACTCCCAGAGACTCAGACAGCAACAAGGGAAGCAGATTTGGCTGGCTGAGGCGCCTTGATTGAATTCCCATTCATAGGTCCTTGTGCTCGGAGGGACTGGACCCGTGGTCACAGGAAACCCGCCTCAGATGATGTGCAGCCTACATAAGACATCGATCCACACAAGACTTTCTGGGGCCACAGGCTTCACTTCAAAAGGCTGCAATTGAAAGCTGCCACTGTCTCACTCTTCCGCACCCCAAGAAGGACTTGTCCGGACCCCAATAAGTGCTGTCACCAAGCTTCCAAGAGTATTGACCTCAGAGAGTCGTGAATGCAAAACCAATTGGCACAGCTTGGGCCACGCTCGGGGTGATTCATCGGAGGATCGACCGAAATGTGGATCTTTGACAGGTTTTTCAGAGCAAATTATTGAGATATGAATACCAGTCATGAAGTCATGAAAGAAAACAACATTGAGAAGTGTGTGCCAAAGGGAAACTGTTTCAACTTCATGATTGTCGACCAGCCACTGCGATGTATGCTCCAGAGATGAAGACAAACCAGCCTGCCAACACCCAGAGCAGGTTCACAAACTGCTTGTAGACAGGTCCGGACCTCCGATCGCAGCGTGCTGAAGTGTGACAAACTCCACACGGTCTTGTAAAGACGAGGATGAGATTGATGGGGTTGGTTGTGGGTTAAAACCCTGACATTATATAGGATCGTATTACTCTATACAACTAGAACAAAATGCAAAATATGCTGATGGTATTACGTATACTTTCTTATCTGTCTCTTCATGTTCTTCATCGGCAATCATTTGCTCCTTGGCTCTTGACCTGATTCAAAATCAAACAGGTAAGAAAATCAGTCTGATTCGATCTTACTGCGGCTCTCGTCGTGCAGAGTTAGAGAGTGACAATTCTTTGGCACTTTGCACTGCTTTCGCCATGGCAGCCTCTCCAGCCAAAACGCCAAACCAATCAGCAGGGCCACATACCTTTGTGCGCCGCGAAGTCACACGAACTGAGCATTCTCTGGCAGTCGTTCTTTCGGTGGTGGAAGAATGCAGGCCAAGGCACACCAAGCACACTCCAAGTCCAAAAATCCAAGAGATCGCGGTGGTGACGCCAACCATGCCCCATGCAGCCAGGTTCACGATGATAAAGCCTCTTGAAACGCTCAAATGTACCACAAAGGGGTCGACTCCTTCAAACCTGACTGCTTATCTTGATGAAACTCCATTAGTCCGTCATTGAACTGCCCAGCCTAACCATCCCAAAACGCCCACACCAACACTGGGCTCAGCCGTCTCCGTCTCCTTGGTGTCTCGGTCCTGAACACAAGGTCACAATTGCAATGTCGTCGAAGAATCAAAAAAGCTCCCTACTGCAATGTAGGCTCGAATTGAAATGTAGCACTGTCCAAATCATGTCGTAGTGAAATGGACCAGGAATTTATCCTGCACTATCAATTTCCGGCCCCACCGTCACGGCTGTCTCCACGTCGCCGGGTGCCGTCTGCGCCATTGAGCGTGATCTGCCGGCCTTGGGAGACTGGAGCCTGGTGGTTTGTTGGTCGGGCAATCAGGATTTGCCAGTGGAGATGCTGAATCTAAATATGATGTTGGAGGCCATCGCTAGTAGGTTGGAGGCCATCACTCTTGGAGGCCATCGCTCTGAGGGAGGCCTTTATCAATAACAGCATTTGTCCAGCTTACTACCCAGTGAAAACGTCTTGCCATTTGGTCGCTGTTGGACTAGCTCCCCGATCCACTTTTTACTTGCGAGCACGCAGTAAAAGAATAGTTTCTATGTCGGGAACCAGCAGCCTGCTAGCAAGAAAGGATGAAGAGATCGTTCAGAAGATCCTCCTAATTTTCGCGAATGAAACTCCAACTGCTCATTCCGCAGGATGATCCAGGCAAAACACCCTCATCTTGATCTGAAGCATTGAACAGAAAACACAAGCATGCACCATGAACCGAACATGGACAAGTCCAAAAGTAGTCCCCAGCTCTCAGGCGCCTGCCTGCCCTGTGTAGCAACACACTAAAGGCAAACGGCAGCGGCAGCGACGCGATGGGGGTCAAAGCTGTGGAATGCAAACAGTGGTTCACATGTGTGTGTGTGTGTGTGTGTGTGTCAATCAACCTCTTGAAACAAACAGAAGAGACTGGCCCTGCAGAAGTCCGCTCAGTGATTCCGACCTTCGGGCGATGCCATGGCTTCATGGAGTCAAATCTGCTGCGGCGGGCAGCACGCCCGCTGGGTTGACTTTCGGATTTGGTGTGGCACTTATCTCATGTGCTGTGACCAAGAGTCCGTTGACCTCGCTATGATCTTTGTATTCCAAAACATACCAAAAATGGGCTCCCCAACAGCTTCTTGTAAAGGCATGGATTGGACAGCAGCTGTATCGACCCTCTGAGGTGGCCAAACGAAACTTGTTCTTTGCGCTCAAAGCTGCAGATCGGACTCGTTCCATGAAGCCTCCCACCGAGTGAGATTCCTATAGCCGGATTCTTAAGTACTCCCACCAAATCTTGGAAATCATGAACCTGAAATCCTTGCTCCTCAAATCTCATGGTTCTTTTTCCGTCAGCTTCAGCTTCGCCGACCAAGTGATACTGGTGAGAGAGCCATCTGCGGTTTTGGGGAGGTCTTCCGCGCAGTAGTCCAAGAGCCTAGTATGACGAAAAAGGATTATTGAAGCCGTCATGGCCAAAAGGAAGAGGGAGAAGGACAACACAAGGTATGAAGAAAGAACAGGATGTAGGGGATTCAAGGCTCTAGTTCTAAGCAAGAGCAACTCGATGTTGAGTGCATCATTGTACAGGAGGCGAGCTGCCTCAATGGATCCTTTTTGAAGGGTCCTCTAAAGACCGAAGACCTTGGCATAGCTGTTCCTTGCTTCAGGTTCAGCTTTGCCAGGCAACACACGGATCAAATCAGATTCCAAGGCAGAAATCTTTGGCAACAGGTGCTTGCTTTGCAGCTAGCAGCTAGCCGTGCTTCCAAAGTATGCACCAAGCGCCCAACCACAACTTGGCGCGCTGTCTTTGTTTCTGGCTATTGGAAAGAGTGCCGGAAATGGCTGATTTTGCTCGCAGTTGGAACTGTAAAACCCCTAGAGCCTAGAGCTGTCTTTTCGCACCCAGACTGAGCAAAATCCACGACTGTCCACCTGTCCGGTCGAAGATCGGTGTCCAGTTCACACGCGAATATTTGGCGCTCTGGCAATCAGCCTAAGCTGAAAGAGCGCAAGCAACAAATGAACAGCACGAGTCTTGTGGAAAGTGGAATGAGCCAACCAAGGAAGAGCACAGGTGTCGACGACTATCAGAGCAAATGCACAACATCACCAAACTGGGCGTAGGATGCTCAAGCCGGCCAAATGGTGTGGCCTGCCTGCATAAAGCACCTGCTAAAAGCAGATTGCATTTGCTCCAAAATGGTCAAACATCCCATAACTTTGACTTGCTGCGGTCCAAGAAGCGCATGCATCAGCCGAGTCTTCGGCAGCTTGTGCGAGTCACCTAGCTGTTTTCCCTTCCCATCCGCAGAAAGGCTTTCTTTCGTCAAAGACAATAATCTTCGTGCGATTCGATCGGGGCTCCAAAAAAACACAAGCTTCCTTGCAAATCCAATGTCGGCCATCTTTGCATGAATCACAGCTTTCGCATGTCATTTGCAGAGAATTTGCAGGCATGCAGAAAGCATGTTTTGAATCTGTCAGGAAGCCAGTGCGTGGTCTGTGGGCCGTTGTCGAATCCCACTTGCTGGAAAGCAAAACCAGTGTTTCAACAAAGCGAGCCAAACTTACCATTCTTCCCCATGAATCAAAGGCACATCCTCAGTCCCTTAGACAATGACAAAACTGCTTTCACCACGAGTAGGCTTCAGCCAGGTCGCACTTCTGTGGGTAGCGAATCCTCGGTGATCAAACAAGGGCTGGAAGGGTCAGGCTTTCCAGCATGGTTTCATAGAGCTTCTATGTGTCCAACGGTTGGACACTGAAGTGGCATGCGCCAGTGAGAGACCCTTGTAGGCGATTCTGAAAGTACTATATAGGCTGTAATACGGTGTATATATAGGCTGAATTCTGCAAAGTTTCTATATAGTACTACTATATATATAGGCTGTAATCCTTATACCTACGCTCACTCTCAAGACATCATGGCGCTAAGGGAACATTTGACTACATGTGACAACCCAACGCATGTTATCATCCGGGGCTCTCATGAAGCTTCTGCCGGTTGTCCACCTTCTCCTCAGTACAGCAGCAAGCTACGCCGAGCTATTGTACCCGATGGATCCTGATCCAGAACCAACCAATCAAAAACCATCTGCCGCTGAGTTTCTTTCATCTCCTTGAGCTTCTTTCCCCAGTCAGACTCCTTAAACCACCTGAGCATCCACACTGTACACTTCCTGTTGTATCCCTTCTTCTGTTCCTTCCCCCTTTGCTTCAATGTTCCTCATAACGTCTGGCCTTTTGATGACTTGCCAGCAGAATACAACAGTCTAATACACAATGGTGCTGCATTAGTGAACATTGATGAGCGACATGTGCAAATCGCAGAGCAACAACAAACCCCACTGAAGGGCCAACAAAACAATCGAAAAGACTCGAAAAAACAACTGCGGAATTTGAACTCAAAAAGGCGTGAGAATGCACTATCACCTAAACAAAGCGATGGAGGGGTAGTTTTTAGTGATTTGCTCATGTTTTCATATCTGTTTTCAGCAGATTTGGTTTTTACTGTTTTCTGTTTTTGCTGTTTCTTTGCATTGTTTTTGTTGTGTTCCTTACTTTGCTGCTTTTCTGCTTTTGCTGCTTTTCCTCTGCATTGTTTTTGCTTTTGCTGCTTTGTTTTTTGACTCGGTTCGTTTTTGTTGCTTTGGTTGCTTTGCTGCTTTTCTGCTCTTGTTGTTCTGTTGATTTGAGTTGCTGTTTGGTCTACTGTGCTGCATTTGTTGCTGTTCAGTCTGCATTAATGCACAACTTGCACACACTCGTGTTTCATATATACTTTACACATTCGACAGAGAAGCTTCAATACGCTTTGCGCATATGTATGTCATGGTTGCTTTGCGGTCTTTGTGGGAAAAAAAATTGAAGTACAGCACTGCTTACATGTGGTGCTCACAAGACGCAACAATGCAAAAATGTGGGTGAGAGCGAGGAGCCATTCCAAGGTAGCAGACCGTTTGCTAGCCACCCGAGGTTAAAATTTAGAGCATGAAGGGGTAATTCCAAGGTAGCAGACCTCTTGTGAACCACTTGTGGGTAAATTAAGAGAAGGTAGGAGCCATTCAACACAGCTGCCCATTTGCGAGCCACCTGATGGTGACACATTCCAAGGTAGCAAGCCTTTTGCGAGGCACCCGACGAAACATTTAGAGGAGGAAGGTGCCATTCCAACATAGCAGACCTTTTGTAAGCCACACGAGGGTGTAATTTAGAAGAGAAAGGTGCCATTCCAACAGAGGAGACCTTTTGTGAACCACCCGAGGGTAGAATTTAGAGGAGGAAGGTGCAATTCCAACATAGCAGACCTTTTGTAAGCCACCCGAGGGTAAAGTTTAGAAGGGGAAGGTGCCATTCCAACATAGCAGACCTTTTGTGAGCCACCCGCGGGTAAAACTTAGAAGAGGAAGGTGTCATTCCAATGTAGCAACATGCCTGTGTGCGCAAGTGAGTCGCAGCGTGGGCAAAGGGTTCATGCATGCGCTAGTGAGTTAGAGTAACTGTTGCGCGCAAGTGATGTTTTGGACATGGCCTCTTCATCATCAAGTAGGTGCATGGGAGCACACTGCCGATATCGCTTGCGCAAGTGAGGTGAGTTTTGCGTGCGCAAGTGAGATGCGAGCCAACCCCAACAAACACCAGGAAAAAACATGACGCAAGCAGCCGCGCACAGAAACATCCAAGCACACGCCCTTCTTCCAAACTCCCTCCAGCGCCACGAAAACCGCACTGAGAAAAGGTCGACCCCGCCCAACTGCACCGGACACCATTGCGAAATCTGCACTACTTCTTCCACCTTTGCTTGCTACGACGGCGGTTTCTCTTAAGTGTCAGCCCCGCTGCCGAAACTGTTCTCTTTCAAGCTCAGCCACTCACCTCACCTTGGTCTGCAGTTCCTTTCCCCAGGTTGCCGTAAATAGCAGCGAACTGTGAGCCCCAAGGATTTTGAAAAGTCCCCCCCACCGGAAAAATAAAGAACGAATTAAAAGTGCACCCCAAAGCAATTGGAGCGCTTCGAGAAGACTGAGATAAATTAAAAGAATCTTTTGGACTTAGGTCGACATGTTCCTCGCCCGCCGCAGTGGTCTGCCTCCCCGCCACAGCAGCTCTGAGGCGTTCGTCAAAGTCTTCGCTGTCCAAGGCGGGCTCTGAGGGTTCCATGCGCGAGGTGCCGTCGCCTGAGTCGTCTCGAAAAAGATGTTGCGAACGAATCCAACGTATCTGATTGAACTCACACAGAAACACACAGGGTGCATTGACAGTGCAAACTGCAAACAAGTCTGTTTGTTCCTCCAAACGACGGGCAGAAACGCGACCATCCCAACACTCAGATCTGGCACGAGGTGGTCGGTAGTTGAAGTCCTCGATGAGCAAGGGCCGCTGAAATGCATTCACCTGTTCAACAGGTCGACTCGAGATGCCCAACCATGCACTGTTTTCTTACTGTTTTCTAACCGGATCCAATCTGTACACACATCACATTGCAAGATGAAGGCCGCTTGCTGTGTCTGCTGTCCACATTTTGCGTCTCGGCTCTCTGCCCCACAAAGCTTCTTCTGTTTAGGCATTCTAGCAAGACCGCTGGCCCTTCCTCAATCAAAGGCTGAAGTGGAAAATGAGATGACAACTCTAGGCTGGGGAAGGTTGTTTCTGGAGCTGCTTATTCCACTTCTATCTTTGCCTGAACTGATTAAACACTTTGGGTCAAGCAATCTGCTCATTGTGAGAAAAATACTACACACATCTAAACACACTTCAAACTCTGTAGATCTTGCACATCTGGGCTCCAAGTAAGCCATTGAATTTCCAATCCTACCAGGCTCGTAAAGGCCTGATGATGAGAGTCTTCATGACTCAAGGGCGAGATGATGATTGCACAAGGGGCATCTGTGGTTCCCTGTCAGCAACCATCTCTTTACACAGGACTCATGAAAGTGATGCTTGCAAGGTAATCGTACAACTTGACTGCCTTGGCCGCAACTTGCATGCATATCATCGTGGCAAATTGAACATCCTCCGAAATTGGTGCCCTCTCGGTGTGCTTCAACCTTTTGTATGATGGCATCAACTGCGGCAGTCAGGTTTTTGCGCTGCGCAAAGACATCAAAAGCCCACTGCTGCAAGTCAGAGGGTTCTGTGCAAACCAGCAACTGCATCGAAAGAGACGATGCAAACTGTTGCTTCATATTCTCGTGATCTCTGTAGCCATTCACTTCGATGATCACATGTCCTTCTTGGATGGGATGTTCTTCATTCTGTTCATTCCACTCTTGCACCACCTCAGAGTCCGATAGATCTGTGATGACCATGCCCTCAATGTGTCGGTGAACGGCCAACTTAATGCCCCAAAGCTCCCCCTCACAAGAACGTTCAAGCACTGCTCCGTAGAGGGGCCACTGCGAAGGCTGACTTCGCGGATGGAGACTCGCGACGGTGATGGCCACGGGCTGCTTCATGGCAGCAGTTCCCATAGCTGACTTCAAACTAGAACCGTTGCACCACAAGCTCGTTAATATTTGAGCTGAAGCCGAGAGAACCGTGGCAGTGAAATGAAGAACAATGATTTGGCGACAAACCTGTTAGGGCATTTCAAAGTGCTGTTAAGATTGTACAGGATCAATGGCCCAATAAAAGCATCCGAGCACGAAGACATGCGTTGTGGACATGCTCTCCCTCAGCCTCAACTGCCCGCAAATGTTCCCATCGCTGATGTTCTTCGTGCTGCAGTTCCCGTCGCCGCTCGTCCTGAAAGCGTTTTCGAGAGGCGCAAGTTCCACCGAGCCACGCACTTGCAAATTGCACGCTACTAGGAGCAAGGACACTACTACACCGAATTGGCGGAATGGGCCCAAGCATCTCCCCCGAACACTGGATCAGTGGCTCCTGCTGCTGCCGAAGCATTTCAAAGCCCGCTTGCACCTGGCTGGTCACAAAATGATTGGCAGATGAGACGTCCACCGCTTGATTCGAAGCCAAAACAAACAACGGTGTTCTTCTGGGGGTTTACATGCACATCTTGTGCGTTGTAGATTGCGACATCCCAAATCACTATAATTATATATCATTATATATCTATAGATGGTATTACGAGTAGGACGCTATTAGGTGGAGGCCATCGCAAGTAGGTTGGAGGCCATCGCTACGAACGTAAAAAGAATCCATTCATCCAACCTCTCTTGTCTTCAATGCCGTGGTCAAGCGCCTATCCGAGACACCCACCTCTGAGAGCCGGAAGAGAGGCTCCCGGTCCTTCATCCTCTGTCTCATCTCAAGGACCTCCAAAAGAATAAATCCGCCCGCACCGAAGGTGCTCAGGGCGTGATCATCCGGATGGCATCAACAACTGTAAGGTCAGGTTTACCTGGGGGGGACCCTTTTCGAGGCCAAAACCGTGAGTTTTTGATAGGTCGCGACGGCGGTATTAAAAAATACTGTGTTGTACAGCACGGAATGGACTAGTTACCGTTTTCGCCCGCCTGGAATCGGCAAGATAAACGTTAAAAAACATTGAGTTTTTTGACATTTGGTCTTCGATTTTCGACTTCAAGACGTTCTTTTTTTCATGTCTCTTGTCGGGCGGCCGGGGCACCAGATTTTGCGATTTCGGAGCTGTTTGGGCGACAGTTTTCGCCGTTTTTGCTGGGCAAAAACATTGGTTTTTGCAGTGTTTTTGTAAATTGTCTAGGCTTGACGTCTTTGCACGAAAACGTAAAAAAACCTCGCAAATAGCAGCGTTTTTGGCGGCCACGTTGCTGAAAACGTCGCAAATTGCAGTGTTTTTTGACAGCAGGCTCAAAAACACTGTAAATAGCAGTGTGTTGGGCCACGGCAAGCTCAAAAACATCGATATTTACAGTGTGTTCTCCCTCGTAAAGCATAAAAACATTGAAAAATACAGTAAAAAGTGGTGCTTTTGGCCACGGCAAGCTCAAAAACGTCGATATTTGCAGTGGTTTCTGCCTCACAGAACGTAAAAACACTGTAAAATACGGTGCATAGTCGTGTTTTCGGCAACGTCTACGTCACAAACCTCGCTCCGCCAATCACGGTGCTTTGCCGAGATGGAAGAATCAAAGGGGCCATTCAACCAGCGCGTCAAACTTCCAGCTGCAGGTTGCTTAACTGCTTGAGACTCCATCTCGTAAGTTACGCATACCTGCTCTTCAAAAAAAATACTGGGATGTTCAACTCTTAACTGACTCATTACTCTTCATACCTGCTTTTGATCTCTCAGGGCCCTCTGCTCTCTTGCCGCTGATTGGAAGACTGTGGCTTAATGGAGGGGTTTGTAGAAACGGATTGGGGAGTTCAAGATTCTACGATGCCAATGTTTTGCATATATCTATTATTCTTTCGTGGCGGTGCGGGCGGACCTAGCCGCGCAGCGGCGTGAATCCGATCATCCCGTGACTAGTGACTAGGAACAAGAAGCTACTAGGAGCAAACGGCATCGCTACTAGGAGCAAGGACGCTACTAGGGGCTCCTGGCCTTACTACTAGGAGCAAGAAGCTACTAGTAGCAAGAAGCTGCTAGGAGCAAAGGGCATCGCTACTAGGAGCAAGGACGCTACTAGGGG